AGCCCCTTCTCCCCCTGGGCAGCTGGGAGCCCGCGCGCGCGCCGCGGCCGGCTAATGTGGGGGCCTTGGGGGAGAGGTGCGGTCTCCCTGTGTTGCCCAAGCTGGCCTGGAACTCCTGAGCTCAGGCGGTCCTCTCACCTCGACCTCCCACGGGGATGGGATCCCTGGCCCGAGCCGCTGCGCCTGGCCTTCTTGCCTAAAATGAGTAGGAAAAAAAAAGAAGGGAGACTAATCAAACGCAGGACTCGGAGAAGGGCACGTCGGACAGGCCGCAGCGAGAGTGTGTGCGGCCCGCTCGTGAGGGCTGCGTTTCCAGCATTCAACGCCCGCGCGGCCTGTGTCCTACCTCAGACTCTGGGTTTGAAAAATCAGTTTGAGTCATCAAAGGGCAGACACGAGAGTGTGTGTGTTGTGTGTGTACGTTTTTGAGTCAGTCTCACTCTGTCATCCAATCATGTTCATGTGTGAGAATGTGTGAAAGTGTTCATGCATGTATATTTGCACGTGTGTGAGTGTGGATGCATGTGTGTGCGCTTGTGTGTATGAGTGCACGTGTGTGCATCTGCACATATGTGTGTGCGTGTGTGTCCCCATGTATGAGAGGGCATGTATCTGTGAGTGCATGTGTATATGCACATGTATCTGAGTGTTTGTGCATGTGTTTGAGTGCATGCATGTGAGTGCACATGCATGCGTGTATGCATGCATGTTCATGTGTGTACATGTTTGAGTGCACTGTGTACACAGATGTACAAGTGCACGTGAGTGCATGTCTGTATGTGTGAGGGCATGTGTTCATGTGTTTTTTGTGTGAGTGCACATGTGTACATGTGTGGATGTGTGTGCGAGCACACTTGCACACGTGTGCAAGTGCATGTGAGCGCATGTGTGATTATATGTGTGTACGTGTGTGTGAGTGCATGTGAGTGTGTGCACGTATTTGTATGAATACATGTGTACATGTGAGATTGTCTGAGTGTGCTAGTGCACCCATGTATGCATGTGTGTGAGTGTATGTGTATATGTATGTGCATGCGAGTTCACACATGTGCAAGATCATGTGTGCATTTGTGCGAGTGCATGTGTGTGAGTGTATGTGTGTATGTATGTGCATGTGAGTTCATGCATGTGCAAGTTCACGCATGCATTTGTGTGAGTGCATGTGTATGAGTTCATTGCATTCATGTGGGTGGGTGCATGTGAGTTTAATGTGTGGTACATGTGCGTGCATGTGCATCACATGCACGAGCACATACGTATTGTGAGTACATGCAAGCACACACGTGTGAGTGCCTGCATGTTTGTGTGTGAATGCATGTCGGGCGCATGTGTGAGTACACGCGTTTATGCATGAGAGTGCACGCACACGCCCATGTGTGAGCGGGCATGCGTGTTCATGTGTGTGAGACGGCATGCATGCATGTGAGGGCACGTTTGTGAGAGTGCATGCATGAGTGGATGCGCGTGTGGGTGTGTGGGCCGTGCGTGAATGAATTCACGGCACCCAGAGAGCTTTGCGCGCGGGGACCCGTGGGCGCCGCGAGCCTGTCTCAGGCTGCGGCTGTCGTCCTCCCGACTCAGCGGCTGCGCGTGGACACGTCCCGTGGACACGTCCCGACTCCCGCAGAGGCACGCGCGGCCCTTGCGTCTGCGAGGCGCGGCTCCGGGCCTCCCGGCCTGGTCCGCACTGCCCTGCGTGTCCGGATCACGCCTTGGCTGACTCCAGAGGGTCGCTGGCGGTCGTGCGGGCCGGGGCCTCCCCTGCGGCTGTGTCGCCAGGGGACGCCGCTCCTTCCTCCCTCTGGGGGCAGGAGAGGAGGGCAGGGGCGACCGGGCGCCTGTGCTCCTTCGCGGCCGCTCCGCCGAGTGTGGCGCTTCTCCAGGCGGGGCAGCCGCCGCCACGAGCCAGCGCAGCTTGAGACTTCGGTGCTTATTGATTTTGGTCTCAGCAGCACAGTAGAGAAGTTATTCGTTTTAATGTGGTTTAATACTAGTTTTGCAATTTTACAGTTTTGTTTTGCCTTTTTTTTTTTGAGTTGGTCTCACACTCTGTCGCCCAGACTGGAGTGCAGGGGCCGCTCCCGGCCACCGCAGCCTCG